TAATTCAATTTTTATTTATTATAATTATTTATAAATTAAATTTTAATATTTTTGAAATAAATATGACTATGTATTCTTGTGTTCAATATAAATTATTTATCATAAATCTAAAATATAATTTATATATTAAAAATACTTATTTATACAAATTTTTAAATATAATTTATATATTCAAATAAAATTATTTGTATATAATTTTTGTTTTATAACTTTTAGTTATATACAATAAATATTTAACATGTATAGTACACAAATTAAAATATTAGTATAGATATAAAAATAAATAAATAAAGGCCAAAATACTAGGAAAATATAAACAATTTACGTTTTGAGCCAATATTTATTTTGATTCATGTCAATTAAAAAATATATATATCTCCCTGAATCAAATTTATCTATATATCTATATTCAAATGGGAAACATATACACCTCAATCTTTGAACAGGAAACAGACAAATCAGAATCACAAATTTCCATACAATGTTTGAACTTTTGGCACCCTACGGTCCCGCTAGTTTTGCTCAACAAAGGATAGCCTCCTTAAATAATTCCATTCATTCATCTCAAATTTTATTGTTCATTTATCCGAGTCTTTGTTTCTTGCATCCCCTCAATACCCATAATCAGAAGAAACCATGGCTAGTGGAGGGCTCAAAGTTTGCTTGATCATGTCTCTACTATTGTTTAACATTGTTACCTTTGCGGTCTTGTTTCTGATCTTTAAACCCAAGGATCCTAACATCACTGTTCACCCTGTTGGCCTACAACACTTTGAATTTTCCCTTTTACCCACTTTGACCATGAACATGAGTATAGACACGTTGATCACTATAGAGAATCCAAACTATGGATGCTTCGACTATACAAAGTCTATTGGTTATGTCAATTTTCATGATATCATTGTAGGCGAAGTTCCAATAAGGGCAAACTTAGTCCCAGGGCGTAGCCACATAAATGTGAGCACTTATACAAATTTTATGGTGAGAAAATTAATCAATGATTCCAAGTTTTGGTCAGATGTTCTAGTAGGAACCTTGAATTTCACATCAAAAGCTTCATTGCCAGGGAAAGCGCTTATGCTCAAGATTTTCAAATTGAAGGCCACGGCTTATAGCTTATGTGACATCACTTTTAATATAAGCTCTAAGAATGTTCATACCAAATGCATATCCAAAATCAAGCTTTTATTTTTTTGAAGTTGGGGTTTTCTGCACGTGTTAGTTGCTAGCCTTGTTCTTTTTAATTGATTGGTGGCTGCTGTTTTGTTGCTTTTTTATTTTATTTTTTTTTCAATCGATGTGGTGTTGCTATTGCGACGTCACAATCGTTAACGTGACAAAACCATATTTTATAATAAAAACAATCAAATGTTCATTTACCGACAAATGTTACTAAACTCACCTACGTGAATAAATTTATTTTCTTATTAATTGCTGCAACGAAAGGATCATGGATTTATCACCATTATTCTTGCATAAGTAACTTACCTAATTTCTTTTTAATTAATCTTGTTGATATATATATATATATATATATATATATATAT